GGGATGCATTAGGGAGAAGCAGGGCCCTGGAGGTGGCCCAGGGGAGGTCGTCAGGGTGTGGGGCTACCTTACGACAGCCAGCTTTTCCTTAGCCAGGAAAGTACTGGGAAAGGTGGGGAAAAAAAAACCCAGAGGGTGTTGATAATACAGGAATTCTTCTTCCAGGGGAACAGGAATCCATAGAGGCAAGTGGAAAGGGTGGGATAGATCGTAGAAGTTTCTGAACATGAGGCTAGGGCCAAGTCAGTGGCATGAGACAAGCCTGAACTGCAGGGCTGGAGAGGGGAGACCTGGAAGTTATAAACAAGGTCCTGTGAGGAGTCAGGGAGAAGGAATTCTCAAGATATTTTTACCTGAGCAGGTGGAGCCTGAGTCCAATTGAACTCTGTGGTTGGGTTAAAGTTAATCTCAGGGACCCTCCCTCTATCTCCCTGAAAGTGATAAAGATTGGTGTGTAGCATGTCTCTGTATTTTTCTGGAGGCCGGAACACTATTTTCCTTCAGATTTTCCAAGGGTTAGGGTGGGGCCTGACAGTTGACGCCAGCTTTGTAGGTCTCCAGGGTAAAGAGCACGAGCCAGTACCACCTTCCACCTGCCTCCGTCCCACACACCCTGCCCTTCCCTGTCCCTGAGCCTTTGCTCATAGCAGATTTGGTCATGTCCCAGCTCTGCCTAAAACCCATGAGGGACACACCATGGCTCCTTGAATAAAGACCAAATGTCTCTGTCACCTTGTAAGATCAGGCCCCTACCTGCTTCTCCTGCCCTAGCCCCTCCATTTTCCCCCGTGGACTCACACTCAACTTCTCTTTGAGGTGAATACAGGATGCAGGTGGGGGGAGGGCCCATTCTGCACCCTGCTGACTTCAGGAAATTCCAGTTGGAAGAAATTCAGATCTTTATTCAGTCCTTAGGGAATATAACAAAGAGGGAAAGCACGCTTAATGTATAGCAACAGCAGTAAAAAGGAAAAAAGGACTCTGTGTATGTAATAGTTCAAAAACTCTTACCCCACCCCCACCCGGCACCGCTTTCCTCAGCTCAGCTCTGCAACTGGCAATGCTCTCTTCACAGATGGTGGAAGCACACTTGCCTTCGCCAGACCCCAGCCCTCTCCCCTCCACCTGGGCCTGATTATGAAGATCACCATAACTTCTTCAGCTATTTTTAAACTTGATCCATTAGCCCACTGCCCAGATTCTACAAAGGAGCACCTGGATAGAGAGCCCGGGCAGTGTCCCAGGGTTTGGGAAGCCTGGATAAGGTGGGGGTAGGGGGCAGGGTGGCTGCAAATGCTTATAATGTTACATGGCTTCTTTCATCCCTTTCTAGCCTTTTATAGAGGCTGCACACTTGCCATTCTTTTGCTGGAACACTCTGTCCCCTTTCCTCCCTTGTCCTTCAGGCCACAGCTTATGTGACCCTCAGCAGGGGTCCCAGACCAGGGCAGTCTGTCTCTCCCTTACAATACACCCTCTCTTGCGGCTCCCCCCATAATTAGATCTAGAGGTTTATTTCAGAGCTACACTAGGGACTCCCACTCGACTGGAAGCCCTGTAAATGGGTAGCGACTGTGTCTGTTCAGTTCACAGCCAAATTCCAAGTGCCCAGCCCACAGCTTGGCACATAAGAGCCTCTCAACAAATATTTGAGCTACATACTCAAATCTCACTCAAAGTCTGCCTCTCTGTGAGCACCTACTATGTGCTGGGCATTGGCCTGGGCACTGGAAAGACTGCACAGAATGGCAGAAAAAAAATCCCTGACCTCTGGAGCCTACATTTTATAAGGAGAGAGGGACATGTAAGTAAGAATTAAAAAAAAAAGAAAAAGTCTGCCTCTCTGCAAACATCTTTGGTCTCTCTCTTCCGAAAGGCCATAGCTTGCTCCTTTACTGCCCATTGGTCACCAACCACTAGGCCTCCATTAAGCACAGTGTCTGGAGACCCTTTTCCTGTTTACCTGCAAACAACTCTCTTCCCTAAATACAGATGGATTACCAAGGACTCTTCTCTGGGTATCCGTGACTGACTGTGCCCTTACCCTACTGGTTCTTTTCCTCTATTTACCTTCCTGTGGGGTGGGGGGGAGGGGGGGAGGGCATCTACTCCTCTCCCCTCCCTCTCTGCACTCTACCCCCTCATTCCTCCACCCCCTATCTCCCTGGACAGATGTAATATGGACCTGCCTAGGTTTCCCTCTTCAGCTCAGAGCCAGTGAGCCAGATA